AGGGAGGGAGGGAGGGAGAGAGGGAGAGAGGTCGCCTTCAATGACTGCCAAATATATTTGCAGCGCGGCAAAAATGGAACGTAAAGTATGAAAGTAAACGATAAACTCTGTCGGCCAAGCCGGGCCGAACGGAAGCGCGGGTCGCGACATGGGAAGGGGGGGCAATTGACCCAGTTTCTGGACGCCCCGTCCCGCACTGCAGCCGCCTTGCACAGAGGTCTTTTGTACTTTTCACGTCAAAGTGGAAATTAATCAGCGCACTGCATGTCGCCTGCCGGTCGGCGGCTGCACTTTATGATGCCTTCCGCCGCTGCTGCTCGTCTTGTGGGTGCGCGTGCGTGTGGCCTGGTAGCCGGGGCCCCGAGACGGCGACGCGCGAGTCGGCTGCCGTTTGCGCAAGAGTACAAACCCCGTCTGGCGCCGTCGGCCCGCCTGCAAACTTGGAAGACAGAAGGGCGTATCTCGGCGGCTGTATCGTAAACCAAACGCTGTAAAGCGCATTGTCCCGGTCTCGCCCGGCGACGAGGCTGCTCGTCTGAAGGTTGCGGCGGTGGTGGTGGTGATGATGATAATGGTGATAACAAGTAATCAACAACAAAGAAGGAGGCGGTGACGTATTAGTAACAACATCAGTGACGAAGACGAAGAGGACAATGACGACGACGACAATGACAGGAGTTTGTCGAGGAGGACGCGTTCGGCGATGGGGTTGGTGAAACAGGATCCTCTTCCAACAGATGTGGATGCTGTACGTCGGCCGGTTCATCTGCGGCCTCGCGGTGGGCGCGACGACGGTGGCCGTGCCCCTGTACACCAACGAGATCGCCGAGGACAAGGTGCGGGGTGCGCTCGGCGTCTACCTCGACATGATGCTGACGACGGGCATCCTGGTGGTGTACTGCCTGGGCGCGGCCTTCGACACCCTGGTGCTGACGGCCATCTGCTGCGCCACGTGCCCGGTGCTGGCGCTGGCCTTCCTCGTCATGCCCGAGTCCCCCACTTACCTGCTGGCCTGCGGCAAGCCGGAGAAGAGCGAGCGCGCCCTGCGGTGGCTGAGGGGTAAGCAGCAGCGTAGGCAGCAGCCGCACCAGCAGTCCACGGCCAAGGCCGCGGCCTCCACGGCCTTACTGAGGAGAGTCGCCCTGCAGCTGGCCGCGGAGGGCCACCCGGGGGACACCCTGCAATTGCACCCAGCCGTGGTATCGAAAGGTATCTCGCTCTCAAACTCGGGACGTATAACACACGGTGTAACCATAGGCGCCTGCTAGCTGGGCCGGGGTTTTGTCGGGGCTGCTCTGGGGGTCGTTGGTCGCCATTTCCCTTGGTTGTTATTTTTGACACCTCCTGCTCTCCGTGCAGGGAAGCGGTGGCCGAATCACATGTCGGGGCAGGCTTTCGACCGGAATGACGTGGAATCGCTTTACACAGGGCACCACGTTGCTTTTGCTGTATCCTCTAGTAGAGCAAAGTGCTCGCGCCCAATCAAAATCAATGCCAAGGGTTGGCGAAGAGCTCGGGGTCGTTCACCGCGCCGATTACCTTCCCCGTTGGTGCCAGGCGGCCGGCGCTGCCGCTCGCGAGGTAGAGGTGGAGGCGGAGGCGGGGGTGGGGGGTTGTCAAGTTAACGCGGATCCGTACGGACGCTGTGGAACTTGCGTGCGCTTGATCTGGGAAGGCTTTAAACGGTCGCAACTTTGTTAATTCATACACACTTTGAATGAGGAGAGGTCAAGAAACATTATTCTGAACAGATAATTGCACATTCAAGCCAATTTTACACGAATTCGTGCACCCATGAGTGTGTAATAACCTCTCCAAGTTATAATACGGCTGCAAAATGCCATTATTTGTTCAAAGGAATGGTCCTTGGCCTCTCCTCGTTCAAGATATGTATGGGTAAACGAAGTTGGGACCGTTTAAAGCCCTCCCAGAGCGGTCGTACGCAAGTTCCGCAGCGTCCGTACGCGGATCCGCCGCACGGATCCGCGTTAACTTGACAACCCTTGACCCCGAGCAGAGGCGCAGCGACCCCCGGACCGGAGTAGCAGCAGCAGTAGACAGAGAGTAAGCAGTAGTATCAGTGGGAGTAGCGGTGGACAGGTAGCTGTAGCGCTGACGAGACTTTCATTAGAGGGCGAACAAAGAGGAGTCACCCTGTCCTCGCTGACGTCATGCAAACGACGTTTACTTACCTTGTCAGATTACAGCGAAGGGTGTTAGTTGGGCAGAGGGACACCAACGTCACCTGTACGTAAATCACCGAAGTGAGACATAGGCAGAGCTGCTTTCAGTAGGTTTTCTTATACCTCTCTTTGTCCATATGGCTAATGGGGGTCCCTAATAATGCGGGCTTCTGTCCTATTGAGTGTTTTGCATGAAGCCGTTAGTTAGCCTTGGCAGAAGTTAAGCAGGACATTAGCCCAAGTGTTATGGAAAGGGGGAGCCATGACGATAAAACTTAATGAGGAGGGCCAAATAAAATAGATCATCTCTCATTACTGGATGTCCGATGCAATACTTAAGAAAATATTCCATGACAAGGCAAACGAGAACGGCCGCGCTGTGGCTCATGAGGCCACTCGGCCAGCGAAAGGGTTTTACGACGGAACTTTGATATCTGGAATGGGGGCCCCGATAAGCCCACAGGGTGCCCAGGGTGATCCGCCGCGACGTGGGAGGGGCACGTCGTGCATGCTGCATCCCCCTCGGGGAAAGGGTGGCCTCGTGTCTCACCAGTTGCATGAGTTGTTTCGTTCCTCAAAGAGTATTTAGATTATTTTATTTCATATGTCAACTGTTGTGTTGTTGCTGGCTGATTAATTCAGGAAAGGCGAGACCAACAACGTAGGGATTTGTGAGCGAGTATTCCTGGAATGCCGCGGTGGTGTGTATTGCATGCGTGGTTTGGTTTGGGGCTGGTTTGTCTGTTGTTACTCGTAGATTAGTGAACTAAAAACTGTAGTTACCAATTTGCTATAAATCTCTTAACTTAATGCAAGAACGACTCGCGTGCACGGCGTTCGACAAGCGCTCGGGCGCCGGGTCGCGAGGCGTTCTCCCCGTCAGGGAACCCTCGGCTAACATCGTTCTCGCCTCGCTCCCCGCAGTTCGCCGTGAGGACGACACCGAGATCCAGCTGGAGCTCGCCCGCATCCGCTCCATCGTCGAGCACAGCACGTCGTCGTCGACGACGACGACCAAGCACGGCCCCGCCAACGGCCACCCCAACGGCGGGCCGGCGGCCAACGTGCTGCTCTCGGACAAGGAGGCGGCGGCGCAGGCGCTGCAGGGCGCGGAGGCGGGCGGCGCGTCCCAGGTGTCGCTGGCCGCGTCCGCGCCCGCCTCCGGCGTCAAGCCGGCCCTCAAGAAGATGTTCGACCACGTGACCGGCCGCACGCCGACCGGCAAGGCCTTCTTCATCGTCATGGGGCTCATGACGTTCATGCAGCTCAGCGGCATTGACGCCGTCATCTTCTACCTCGGCGAAATCTTCGAAGGTGAGTGGGGAGGGAGGGGATGCTCATCCGCCGGCGGAGTATAGGGAGGAGACCAAGGAGACCGACACGACGACGCCCCGCATCGTGGCCACACGATAAATTTACCCGCGGGTCGGCGAGTGGAGGCCGTGGGCAGCGCCCGGCCCCGCCATGCCCCGCCCCGCCCCGCCGATGCACTCGCCCCTATACACAAATAGTTCAAGAGGGCGTGGGGAGGGAGGAAAGTGAACGCGTGCGTGTGTGCGGCTGTGCGGCCGTGTGCGACTGCCGCCGGCCGCCGGCTGCCGCGCCCCGCTCCCCGGCGCTGAGCGACTCGCGGTGCGTGGCCTCGATGCTGTCGCACTCCCCGCCGGGGGAAAGGGGGAGCGGCGGTTAACATCCTGACCCCGCAAAAGTGGAGTAAGCCGCTGAGCCGAACGGGGATGCGCGGGCCGGGGAACAGATGAGAAGCTCTGGGGATGGGGGTGAGAGGAGAGGGGGGGGGGATAAGTAAAGGGCTGCTGAAACGTTGCCGCGCTCTCCATTCAGTCAAGTAGTTGAGATTGACTGATGCCAGAGGCAGTGGGCCCTGGCTGGGCGGGGCGGGTCGGTCGGGACGAGCACCTCTTGGTGTGAGGCGAGGCAGCCCAGTTCTTCCCGGCTCGCGGGGAGACGATCAGACCGACGCGCTGCCGCCTTGCGAGGGTGGGTTAGGTAGGCTGGCCCGTCCGACAGACGCGCCAGCTGGGTTGCCTACCCGGGCGACCGCAGGCGCTAACAGCGCCAACGCACCTGCGCTCACGTCAGTCACCGTGCGCTCGCTCTACGGGACAAAGCTGTGCCGACCTGACCCACTGCCAACTCACTTAAGGCTTGGTCTTCCCTGCTCTCCCTCCCTCCTCAACCCCCTTCTCGCAATTACCGCTCGTTGTACGGACTGCGCCGTGTAGTTGTGGTCTCCTGAGGTCGTGAACTCCGACAAGCGTCCGACGCTTCAACTTTGTTGACATGTAAATCGGCAAAGATAAACAGCGGAATCCGCGGGCGGAGGGCGAGGGAGCGAAAGAGTCCAAGCCGGCCCGCCCCATATACTACAAACTCTGCAGTCGACTAATGCAATCACTCACCTGGAAGTCTGTTCATGTAAAGTCAACTGCGAGCAACAGTGTAGACCTTCCAAGTCGACAGTTGCCATCAGCATACCTAGCACTCCCACACTTAGTTGCAGTCGTGATCTGTGTGGTAGGCACACCGATGATTTTGAGGAAATCGATAGTTATAGGGACGAGGGACGCCCCCAGGCAAGGCGCTGTTGCATGTCAGGTCTTCCTTGTGCCGCTTGTGCGTTCCCAGTCGGCTGCTGGTGTACTGGAGCCTGTATTTTGTTTCTGGCCCTCGTTTAAGCCCTGGGCCCGGGCGGGCATGTGGGGCCGCTGTCCGTCAAGACGGCGCTCGTCAGAGGCAACAAGAGGACATCGTTAAGTCGGAATGTCTGCGAATGTCTACGCCCTCTCGTCATCGCCCGCCCGGGCCCTGGCTCGAGGCGACCCAGGCCGCATTAGCGTCAATAGGCCTTTCCACAGAAACGCACTCGCCCACAAGGCCGGGCCTGGGCCGGCCGGCCGGCACCCAACCGGCCGCCGCCGCTGCATCGCTTTTGCTCTGCAGATACGCATGATTGAATCTTGTTCATCTTTGTTCCCGCAGACGCCGGGAGCACCATGTCCCCGCTCAACGCGTCCATCGTGGTGGGGGCCGTCCAGGTCGTCGCCAACGTGTCGTCCGCCATCGCCGTGGACAGGATCGGGCGGCGGGTGCTGCTCATCCTGTCCGAGTCCCTCATGGCGGCCTCGCTGGCCTCGCTCGCACTCTACTTCCACCTGCGGGACGACCGGGATATCAATGTAAGTACAAAACGTGCACCAGATGTACTTGGAACAAGGAAAGGCCAAGCACGTCCGTTCAAGAGACCCGGAACACTGTTCACTCTGTCCCTTGTGTGCAGGTGTCGGAGAACTACGGCTGGGTGCCCGTGGTGGCGCTCTCAGTGTTCGTGTGGGTGTTCGCGTTCGGCATCGGCTCGCTGCCCTGGTTTATGATGGCCGAGTTGCTGCCCACAGAGGCGCAGGACTGGGGATCTTCGTCAGCCATCTGCCTCAACTGGTCGCTGGGCTTCCTGGTGACCAACGTGTTCAGCAGCATGGTGCGCGACATGGGCGGCGCGGCCACGTACGGCGTGTTCTGCACCATCTGCGTCATCGGCACGTTCTTCATGGCCTTCCTCGTGCCCGAGACCAAGGGGCGGTCTCCCGACGAGATACAGCGCCTCTTGGAGCAGCCGACGCGCTGCTTGGGCATTCGCTCACCACCACACGCGACCAAGGACAAGACCAGCAAAGTGTAGAGGCTGTGACCTCCCGACCGGGAGATGGAACCTCTCTGCAGGTGCGGGGCATCCCGCACGAACTCTCGCGGAGTCCCCTCACTGAAGGCACTTACCGAGGAGGTCCGTAAGGATTTCCTCTTCGAGTTCCGTTCGAGGCCATAACGGAGGGCCCGCTTCGGCGATACTCATTTTGTCGTTTGGACACGAAGGAAGTATAGTTTATTTTCTAACTACGTTGGTGTCAAGCAAGGTCACCGGCAAACCATATCCAAAGCTTGCAGCGGGACTGCAGCGGAAATTTATTTTAATACGTGTCTTTATAACTGATAGTCAATTTTACATGAATGTAGTGAATGTTATTACGTGTATTTTATTATGTGTTTAATGAATGAAAGCGAGAGAAGAGAGTGACATTGTATGTGAAAATGTGAGTGAGTGAGTGAGTGAGTGAGTGAGTGAGTGAGTGAGTGCGTGCGTGCGTGCGTGCGTGCGTGCGTGCGTGCGTGCGTGCGTGCATGCGCGCTTATATGTGTGTGTGTGTGCGTGTGTATGCGTGTGCTTCTTTTAGTATTGTATAGTTTTCATGTGTTTAGTCGTGTAAAAGTGTATCTTGTGCACGTTATCAAGGAAGGGAGTAGGGATAAATACTTTCCCTATTCGTCTCTGGTCTCGAGCTCAACGGAACTAGGAAGCTTTGTGTTGATTTTTGTGATGTATCCAACAGTATTGCTATACCGTGGCTTCTCCACATTACCAGGCCTAAAAGGGACTACAGTCCAATGACCAACTTTTGGCCTCGACCTCAGAACATAAGATATTTTTGTCACTCCAAAGAAACACGCCATACTGCTACTACAGAGTACTAGAGCAATGTTTTGAGAGATAAACCCGATACCAAACCAACTAGAAATTATACGTCGCCTAGCTGGAAGTGCATCGACGTTTGTCAACGTCGACGTAGAATCAACCTTGATCTGACCATTATATGGTCCGAAATTCATCGTAACATTAACTTCGACCAAGAGACCAGGGCTCTGCTTCGACGTCGATTAAACGTTGAGTCGACTTTCAATTCCTGGCTGGGTCGACGTCTATATGATCCGAAAATATACACTCTGACCAACTTTAGACATCTTCTAGATGTTGCATTTCTGTCTCGGATCTCGGATCCTATTGTGAAAAGTGCCGAACGCTAAGAATACGAGAATTCTACACCGAAATAATTGGCGTGACAACCTATTCAAAACGCCGGAAACAAAAAAAATTAAGATGATAGGTTGGAGATACTAGATTGCGTATCAACATAGGTGCAGTATAATGCGCCTAGTTTTTTACTCTTTTCATGCAAACCTAGACTTGTGATGCTAGTAATAGATAACTCTTAGATACTATATTTCTATTTTTAGATTAGAGGACGACAGAGAGTACTTTTGCTGAGTGCTTTTAAAGGTGACCCGAAAGCACGATTTGTAATGTTTGATATTTTACAAAACAAAATGTTATTTCGCTGATTATACCCCAATAAACCAACTCTTGTTTTATCGAGTCCGTATAAGTCAATGAGGTACTCCCCCGGTGTGGGGAAAAACGACAAAAAAAAACTCACTAACACATCTCGAAGCTTCGAATGTTTTCTTTTTAATTGCTTATGCAGGAGTTTTTCTTCCCGCTTTTTCCCTTACCATGCAGTTATCTCACTGATGTTGTCCTGAAGCATTCCTATGCTCCTTAAAGCGCAAATCATTCCACGTATTATGTATTCCATCCGCCCTCATTGTACTGTATACCACATTGTGATGTAGTTCTAAATTCAAAATAAAGATCATTTTCCTTGTTCCAGTTCTTTTTTTTTATTTCCAACATCTTCTCGGGAAGGACTAAATAAATAGACAAGTGCGGCTCCACGATGTGCTGGCCGAGCGGCCGAAGCAAATTCCGGAGTTAAATTAATTCTGGTCGAACCGTGGGCACATTATACATGAGCAAAGGCAGGGACCGTTCCACGTCCTGGGGGTACGGCGGAGTATTGCAAACTATCCTATTCTTTCGCCAGAACGTCCGCAAATTAAAACGTCTCTGGAGCGCTAACTTCAAAATGAGCGCTTGCCTCAAGCGTCAGTCAACTGTTCACCGCACCGCCTTCTAGTAAGTCCGGAGTGCAGACACTGTTTTCACATCTGTTTCGCCTAGCCTGCTGTGCTGCTTCATATCTTTTTTGATTAATTGTAATTTAGCTATTATAATTTTATTTACGGCCAAATACAGGAATGTAGAATTTTGAATAGTTGTCAAGCATCGTTTATCGTGTGAGTTCAGATCGTCAATAACCTCGTCGATGCAAAGCTGAGCTCACCTTGGCACCAAACCCTACGTCTCAATTCGGGACTATCAGCTGTCATGCTGTAAATGAATGAACGATAGAAACAAGCTCTGAATGTTTATATCTTTGGTGACTTTCGGCAAGATTTTCTCCATATATGTTCTAACGGAATTCACATTTCACTTGGCGAACAAACGTGCTCTTACATGGCTTTTGATGGGTAAGTAGACTGCTTTGTTCTCCTTGTTGTTAATGTAAACAACTCACACTGCCTGCCACATAGTCCAGTATAATATACTTTCGGCTTCGAAGAATTCTAACTTACCAAATTTTTTCTGACTTTGTGAAGAAATATCTATTGATTCATGCTGTTTTAATGTAAATTTATCCTACCAACTCTTTTAAATTTGGAGTTGGGTTTCTGAGATGTCGGTTAGGGAGCTCATGTGATTTATTTATCGAATGGCTAATATTATTGATAATTTTCACAATTTTCACAAGTACTGTTTTAATTTTCTGTAACAGGCAAGTATTCCAATGGCAGAGAAACAGATGCACCACCACATTACTGGAGCTACTGAAAATGGGGCATCTGGTGGGCAGTTTGTCGTAACTGTTGGCTCTGATGGAAAGTTGATTCATGTTCGTGATCCTCTGTATCTATCATCAGGAATAACCTCAATAGTAGACGTGAAAAGAGAGGGAATGAATTCAAACATGAATGTGCGTAATAAGAAAAGATAACACTGACTTACTCAACTTCCTTGCATTTCAAAATAATAATGAATTTTCTTTCAATTATAGCAACCATCTTCAAGCAAGTCTGATGTTTATCAATACGTTGTGAATGCAGCAGGGGGCAGTGGTCATTACATGGGTCTCATGACTGTTGGCCCTGATGGCAAACTTACGTCACTTAGAAATGATCGCAGCACCATCCCGCAACAGCCTTCGTCATCAGCTGTAAGCTACTGCGTAGGACTGGACTAATCAATTAAACTCTCAAAAGATATGGCTTACTCAACAGATTGTACTATTTCTTCTTATTTAAATTAGAAACCTAATATCTATTTTCTCTCTATTTCAGGTGATTGATTTCAATGGAGGAAAGGATTCAAAAGCTGTACTTCTACAAATAAACCCCTTGCAGTCTCATCATGCTGTCACAGAGGCTCATTCACAAGTACAGCAGCCTAAACCTCATCAAGATCAGCACAGGAATGACCCAAATACCATTGCCCATCAGTCAGCTGCTGTAAGTGTCCTGAACTTTGTTGTTCAAACATGTGTGATCTAAAGTGTTTAAATTTAACAAGGTTGTATACTACAGGAAAAATTTTCCATTTTTTTTTTCTAGGTGATTGATTTTAATAATGGCAAGGATCCTAAAACTGTAGTCCTACAAATTCATCCAGCTCAAACTCAAATGAGTCTTCACTCAAATCAAGAAGCTCAAAATATGCACCATTCTCAAATAACACACCACCAAGGCAATATATCACATCAGTTGCTCACCAATCAACAAGCTCACCAACAAAACCAACAGCTAGAGCAGAGGCAGCCTCTGCAACAGCAGCAAAGACAGCCAGCCCACCAGCAAGTTTTGCGGGCAGATAAGATTGTGAAAGGTGATAGAGAGGTTGTATGTGCCAAATCCTGCCGTGCCTGCTGCAAGTTTGATGATGATGAAGCTCCAGATCTCAACCCTTATGTCCATCAAAGTTCAAAGGTTAGCTTTCTTGTTAGCTTATCTGATCTATTCTTAAAGTTTCTAATTTTTACTAACTTAGAAAAACAAAAATCCAGTTATCCTATAATTTCTTAATTATTTTCCTTTCTTGTAGGAGGATAGCAACATCGCCACTTCACCTGTTTCATGGACAACTGAGAATCCTGCATCATTTTCTCCCAATGTGAAAGCTACTTCTCCTAATGGTTCTTCTAAAGGAGCACGATTTCAATGCAAAGTAAGATCACTGACTTTTTAAATATTTTATATAGTACTTTGTTTTATCTCATTTAAAACACCTGTTTTAATTTGCTTCAGGTCTGTCTCAAGATGTTCACGCAAAAGGTTAATCTTACTGCTCATGAACGCATTCACCTTGGGGAACGTCCGTTCCAGTGTAAAACTTGTCTAAAGTCATTTACTCAGCAGTCAAACCTTGTAACACATGAAAGAATTCACACAGGCGAGCGGCCTTACCAGTGCCAAGTGTGTATGAAACGCTTCACTCAGAGACAAAATTTAACAGCGCATGAGAGAATACACCTGGGAGAACGTCCCTTTACTTGCCAAGTCTGTAACAAATCTTTTACTCAAAGCCAAAATTTAACAGCCCATGAAAGAATACACCTTGGTGAGAGACCATTTCAGTGTCAAGTTTGCCTCAAGTCATTCACTCAGCAACAAAACTTGACTTCACATGAACGCATTCACCACCTTGAGAAGCAGTTCACCTGTAATGTTTGTCTGCGGGTGTTTAGTCAAGAAACTAGCCTGCAGAGGCATATGCAAACTCACACCAATTCAGAGCGTCCTTACACATGCCAAGTGTGTCATAGGACGTTTGCTCAACAATCCAGCCTACTAGTCCATGAATGGGTTCACAAATGTAAGTCTCAACTAAGTATTGAAGGTATTTTACTTCTCTGTGAGACTCATTGATAATTAAATCCTTAATTCCTTTTTAGCTCCTGAACGCCGAAAGAGAAACTTTACCTATGTTAGCGTGGAGGAAAACGTAATGGAAATACCTTCGTCAGAACAATCTGAAGAATCAGCACACGATAGGAATCATTCATCGGAACAAGAAGGAGAAAAGAATCAGGGTCAGTGTCTCTCTGGAACATCATGATAGGGTTACTTTTACTTAATTTATTCCTCTTGCTGGCTCCATAACAAAAATTTAAGTTGTCATGCAAACTTTCGCCAGGATTGTATTGGCGCGTGTTTTAAAGTGGATTGTTGTCAGTTTTCATTGTAACCTTGGCATATCATTTGCCCGACAAATGATAGTGCACTGCATTATTATTGAATTTGGTACTACATTACATTGATATTTAATGTACTATTGTATTGACAAATTTTTTAGTGTATTGTTTACTCTATGGTGCGCATCTAATCTTTTGGCTAATATTTAGCAACACAAATAATTGATTGGCAATTGTGTTTAATGGCCAGTATGTATACTAATAAGAAAAGATAACACTGACTTACTCAACTTCAATATAAATTACTTCCTAAAGAATAAAACAAATATATTACAGAACTGTTTTAATTTCTTAGTTGAACTTGACATAAAACTGTTATGTACAATTATTTCCCATATCAACAATTATTCTACATAAGAGTCATACACTTAGCTCACTAAATTGCATTGCAACATGAAAGTTAGGTTTATTATTACAGTAGTATTGTGACACGAGTTCCCTCAGATGTATACATAAGCTTGAGATCATATTCTTCACTACCTGTAACAATTGTAATACAATTTAGATTGGGTACTAGTACAGTACATAATAGATACCTACAGTATTGGTTTAAAATTAAAATTACCTAACTAAAAAGGAGAAGTCCGTGGAACACGACTAACATTGACTGAGGGAAATTCATCCAGTTCCTCTTTTGTATCCAGCTCAGCTAGCATAAGCTTTTCCTTTGCTTTTGCATTTTGAAGCATAATGTAGAGATTAAAAGAAATACCAACAAGGCCTAAACAAGTAATGCCCATCATAGTTTTGACGAACCCTCGATGCAATTTATCAAGAAATTCACGCTTAGCTCTCTTGTTCATCATCCTGAAACACCAATGACAGTTTCCGTTACTGCAACTCTTGGAACACTAATGATGGTAGAAATTAAGAGGCACCATAATAAATATGAAGAACTGTTCCAGATGGCAAGGGTCATCAGAAAAATGGAATGACTGTAAGCTTGTACAATCGAAATGTCAAACTATCTGATCATTTGTTGAGAAAGTCTACATTACTATTGGAAAAGTTAAGGTTAACGCTTTCCTTACTTGGCAACAATTTTCTGAAGTTTCCTTGATGACTCACACTAAAAACAGAAATAAATAAATGGAAATGCCACCAAACAATAGTTCTACAACTTCAGTAAGGGGTAAAAGTGCCGCACAGTTGCGATGTTTGGTTTGGTTGGTTTTGGTTATGGTTGTTTCGTCTGCGCAGTCTACGCAGCTTGCTGTCTGCGATTAATCAGTCGGCGAAAGGCTATTTACACTAAGCGCAGCAGACAGCAACCGAAGCAAATTGAATTGAACGGGAAAACACCGTAAATGTTTGGAAAATAAAGTAAATCCTGCAAGAAAAAACATGGATTTTGTATCAAAAGTTTCTGTTTTTTTAATATTTATAGCAGCTTCTTCTTCTCTAACCCTTGGTGATAAGGTATGTAATGTTTTGATGTGTCATCAACCTCCACACAGGTTATATGTTTCTGTTTAAATTGGACTCCAAGTGAATGATCTTACATTCTATTTCAGTTTGATTTTGAAGTAGATGGCATGGTCACAGTTAGACTTATGCATTATCTCTCCGATGATGGTAACCCAGAAGACAGAGGAAATATAACAGTTCAAAGCATTCGGACTGGCTCAGTAGCACTTTCGCAAGCGGGTTTGATGCCACACCATAGCACAAGATTGAAGGTAAGTGGCTCTTCTTCCAGCACAAGTGTAATTAACATAATGGCCACTCAGAATTTTGAATTCCTTTACAGGCTCTTGCCAGGAATGACCAAATATATCGTTTACAAGCAATGGTCGAGGGTAGTAATGATAAAGTTACAAAATTTTTGACATTTATGAAAGCTGTAAGTAATATCATATGGACTTGTTTCTATTGCCTACTTTTTTTTACTTATAATATTTGTTTCTATCATTCTAGTGTGCTCTTGTAGAATCAGGATTAAGTGATGTACTGACAGTGTCTCTGGATCACAGTGGCAATGTAGTTGCAGTTAGTTCATCAGCTCCTTTTGCTCAGTGTGATGGTGTATTTCCTTCCGACAACCAGCTGAGATTTTTTAACACTACTGTTATTGTTAAACACATGGATGTTGGACCTGTGTAAGTATTTCAGATTCAAAATTATGTATCTATGCAATTCCTTGCACTACCTTAGGACTTATAACAATAGTTTCTGGAAATATTTACCTTCAGACCGGATACAGCAACCTACATTCAGAAGATTGAGAGGGAAAGAGAAGCAAGAGAGAGAGGAGGAGACCCTAAAGACAATAGGTCATTCCTTGCCAAATATGTGAGTAACTATTTAATGAGAGTATTTCTGTGTGTAGTACTGCATTGCCTGCCACTCTTTGTTAATCAATATTGTTGTTTGCTTTCAGTGGATGTACATAGTGCCCCTCGTGATATTTGTTCTTTTGTCAAGTGCTGGTCAGCCAGAAGGTGGTGCTGGAGGGGCACCAGCACCAGCTAGATGATCTCAAATGCTATGTAGGTATATTATCTAAAATTACGTTGAAACTGTCTGAATTTCTTAAGAGATTATAAAGAGGTCTTTTATGCGTTGACGTGTTACAGAGGACAATGACAAGGAACTCATTCCAGACCACTGCCCATGTCACCCTCATTAAAAGCACCCAATTTTTTTCTGTAAGAACATTCAACTGTATTCAAGGATTTCTTTTTGTGTGTAAAAATTGTCTGTATAAATTTGCTGTTTTGCGTGGTGTTGTATTTATATTCAAGAGGCGTTTATTAAAGTAATACATTTAAAACTATACCTGGGCATCATTTCTCATCCCTTTTCACCTTGTTGTGACGTTGTGACTCAACATTGTTATCTAATTCTGTCAGGCTCATAATCCTTAACCTTGCTCTACAGTCTACAGTGCGTGCCACGGCGCCAAGGCACGTTGCTGGGCGTCAATGCCAGCTTTGCCACGGTTTTGCCACGTATATTGTCACGCTGACAGTTTGGGGATCGGTGAGAACGGCTGGAGACTTCTGGAGAGCGGTTGTCGTTGACGAGTGAGTGATTCGAGGCTCCTCCACGTCCAGCGCGCAGTGCCGCGGCGCTGGTGTCGCGCGCCGTGCGCCGCCGCGGGGGAGGGAGGGAATGCCACTGCTGCTCTGGACGCGAGGGGGCGCTGGCGGCCGGCGCTTCGGCCCGCGCAGGCTGGCGGCCCGGCCGCGCCCCTCCCCGCCCCCTCGCCCATGCCAGGTCGCCCTACCCCGCGAGCCCTGCCCCTACCCGTGTCTGTTATAGATCGGCGGCCCGGCCCGGGGTGGTGTGGGGGAGGCCTGTGGCAGGGGCGGGCAGGGGCAGGCCCCCTCGAGCCCAGCCAGCCCGCCCGCCTTGCGCCCGCCCATCCCATGCACAGCCCGACTCGACTCGGCCCTCCCCCAGCCCGCGCCTAGCCCGCGCCCGCGCCCGCGCCGCGCCTGGCCCAGCGTAGCCTGGCGTAGCCATGCCAGTCAGGACGCGGCACTAGCACCGTGAGGCGCCGTGCCCGTGCCGCGAGGGCCCCGCCGCGAGGCTAAGAGCACCGGGCCCGCCACCCCCCCCCCCCCCCCACCCCCCCGGGCCCCCCCAGCCCCGCGCTCGCCAGGCTCGTCATGTCGGACCACGAGGCGGATTTGGACTCGGAGGCCGAGTGCGACAGTTTCCCGGGAGACTTGAGCCAACTCGCCGACCTGGTGGACCTCGGCGACTCGGATGACCCCCACGGCCACGCGACCGGCTCCGCCCCCGCCGCCGCGGCCTCCGCAGCCATGTCGCCACCCCCGTCCGTGCCCCGGAGGAAGGCCGTGTCCTTTCACTCCAACACCGGCCTGCCACCCTGCAAGAAGATCACGACAGGTGAGTCGAGTCGCCGCCCCAGCTGTGTCGTTTGTTTACATGTCGGGGGCGGGGGCGTGGTGCAGCCACTGCCCGGTCCGGCACTCCATGTGTTTACGTTCGCGCGGCCGCGGGCTGCCCGATGACGACCGCGGTCCTTCCCCGCTGCCGCCCCTCCTCCTCACTATGGTAATGACATTGGCGGCGATGCGGCCGCGGGTTGACCACTGCCCTGCTGATGCTTCACGTTCATGGCCGTTGCTCGCTGCTGGCAGCCGTGCCAAAAGTCGCCTCTCGTGGCCTGGCGGGCGCCTGGCGGACCACCGTGCCGTGACGCTGGGATGCCGGCGCCATGGCGACGACGTCGTCCCAGTGGCGACACGTGCTGTCAGGACCGTCCCGTCTCGCTGGTATCGATACGTCGGCGCGACCAGCGTACCGGAAACACTTGAAACGGCAGCATACCGCCGAACAGCTGCGGCACTAACCCTACCCGCCGTCCCGGTATCTGGTGGTGGTGGTGGTGGTGGTAGCGTGTGGCGTGATCGCCAAAGACCACCTCTTTGATCGACAAGGATGGAGCTGCTGTGTTGCCGGGCGCCGTCCCCGAAGGTCCTTTTCCCTCTGATTTGATGGTGTCGAGGAGCCGATGACAGTAGGCGCGCGCAATCGCCCATACAGTAGGTGGCAACTTGAGGAGTCTGTAACAGACAATGACTTGCATTCATGAATGATGATGAAGAAGGGCAGCCGGTTATGCCGATGGTGCGAGGACGAGTGTGTGTGTATGTGTGTGCGTGTGTGTGTGTGTGTGTGTGTGTGTGTGTTTGCGCGCGCGTACGTGCGTGAGTGAGTGAGTCAGTGAGATAGAGCGAGGGCGTTACTCAGCCGCAGTGTCGGATGGGTTGCATATCAGTAGGGCGGTGGTCTGGTCAGGGTCGATCCTCGCGCGGACCTGTCCTTCCTCCTTTTTGCTGGGGAGGAAGATGTATGCCGTTTCCGTGAATGTCGCCGCTTCCGCGCAGGGTGCAGTTCAAGCCAATCCGATCCGGGGTCGGAGCCTGCGTCCAACCAGGGCACGGCACCAGGTGACTGAGGGGCAAAGTCGTGATGGATGCAACACCCCTGGCCCCTGGCGCGCGGGCGGGGGCCATATGGCTCCCTGGAGCGAGGCGTGGCGGGGGGCAAAGCGGGGGT